CCAAAAAATCAGTTGCTTCCCTTAATAACAGAGGCTATTTATTGAGTACTTAATAAACACCAGGCACTGGGCTGTTGTTGTGGTTAGTTGCCATTGAGTTGATTCCAACTCATGGTGACCCCATGTGCTAGAGTAGGGCAGTTGCTCCATAGGGTTTTGTTAGCCATAATGTTAACGGAAGCTTTTCTTCTGCCGTACTGCTGGGTGGGTTCAAACCATCAACTTAAAGGTTAGCAGTCAAGGGCAAACTGTTTGTGCCACCTAGGGACCTAGGCACTGGGTTAAGTGCTTTATATACATTACCACATAACTTAAATTTGAAAACCCTCACTTAGAGGAAAGAGAAAGAAAGGGGGGAGGGGAAGGATAGGAAGAGGTCTGGTGGAAAGGGTGCTTCAGCAAGTGTTGAGGTTTGAGACAGTAAAATTAAAGCCTCTGAATAGATCTGAAATGCAAGATCCCCCTACCCCATTCCTCTTCTCTTTATGTCTGCTCCTACGTAACTAACATATCTCTGAACATAAAGCGAGAACCGTATGTGTTGGGGAAGAGGGAAGTGTTTTTCTAACTAAGGAACTCTTCTCTGTCTCTGTCACACACAACCTGGAGTTCCAGTTTCTGAGGTCTAAATGAACCTTGCTTCTCCAGACCTCCCACCGCCATCCCACCCTCTTCTCCAAACCAGGGCCCAATTTCAGTCTGGCTTTTGTTGGAGTCATAGCCAATCTACTCTCCCCCAGTCAACAGTGACCGAAAGCCACACAGGGCATTCTGGAGGCCTTACTGGGGGCTCGGGCTGTAGACAGGGTCTAGAATGCTTTCCCTGCGGGGGTAACCAGGTGGAGAGACACCATTACCGCTTCCTGCCCAGAGGCTGGCAAACCCACAGAGAAAATGACGTGCATCAATATGTCCCCAAATATTCCTCAAAAGTAATCACTTACTGGGTGTCTTAGTTATCTAGTGATGCCATAACAGAAATACCACAAGTGGATGGTTTTAATGAAGAGAAGTTTATTTCCTCACAGTCAAAGTAGGCTGAAAGTCCAAATTCAGGGTGTCAGCTCCAGGGGAAGTCTTTCTCTCTCTGTCGGCCTTCTCTTCAGTGTTCCTCCGGACTAGGAGCTTCTCGGCGCAGGGACCCCTGTCCATAGGACGCGCTCTGCTTCTTGCACTGCTTTCTGGATGGTATGAGGTCCTCCTGTCTCACTGCTCACTTCTGTCTTTTATATCTCAAGAGATTGCCTCAGGACACAATCCAGTCTTGTAGATCAGGTCCTGCCTCACTAACACAACTGCCACCCATCCTCCCTCATTAACATCACAGAGGCAGGTTTACAACATACTGGAAAATCACACAGTACCAAGAATCATGGCCTAGCCATGGATACACACATTTTTGGGGGGACATAATTCAAACCATGACACTGGGTATGGAAGTTTTTAAAGTTATTTTCAACAATCCGGAGAGTCAAGAGAGAAAGGGTAGAGGAAGATTCTCTTGGAAGATACAAAATCCCAGGTTATGTAGTTGGGAAACTGGATCTTTATTGAAGGGAAGAGGACTTCTTGGCGCCAAATGGTCTCAGGGACAATTGTGTATAGAGATGAGTGCTTTAGAAAAATATTAATAATGTCATGCACAAATTTGGATAGCAAATTTCAAATTATACAATTAACTTGGAAACAGAGAATTCCTGGAGTTAAGGCCAGGTTGCTTATGGAGATGGTCATCTGAATAACTTCTAGGTCAGTGGACTCAGGCTCTGACCCTGGTTTCTGCCGTGGTTTGGGGCAAAGCACTTTCTCTGTGGTCTGATGGAATTAGTTACCTTCCTATAACCAAAACCAAACCAAACCTATTGCCGTCAAGTCGATTCCGACTCACAGCAACCCTATAGGACAGAGTAGAACTGCCCCATAGGGTTTCCATGGAGCGCCTGATGGATCTGAACTGCCAACCTTTTGGTTAGCAGCCGAACTCTTAACCAGTGCACCACTAGGGTTTCCTACCTTCCTACATATAGAAGCATAACATAGGAGAAAATGGTATATGGGAAGAAAAACAAAACATAGGAGCAGTAGAACCCATGATGATTCCAAGAGCTCAGAAGATCCTGGGAGGAAATAAAGCCCACAGCAGGACTCCACACCTGGTCCTTCTATTTGTCCTGGGGGATGCGCTTGTTACTTTGGAAGGCAGTACTTGTAACCAAGATGGAACTCAACCTGAAAACTATTACAGTGTGTAAGGAGGATGGGATGGAGTAGAGCTGGGGCTTGGACCAGTAAATTCAGCTAAGGCAAAAAATAAATCAAAGGACAAACTGACCAAAACTGAAATCCCAAGGGTGAGGCGCCAAGGTAAGAATTCTTTACCAATGGAATGACATCAGGAAATTCATGAACTTGCAAGGAGTTCAGCTGGCATTTGAGGGGCTGCTGGCTCCAGCCAGAATTCCTATCTCAGCCTTTCCAGCATCTCCTCCTTCCTCCCTCTCCCTGCCCAGGGAATACCTCTTTGACCCCAGTTAAATCATATGAAGGCCAGTGAAAGGATTAAATCAAATGGTGCATCCATAAATTGCCTACTAAGGCGGAAGGACTAGGACCGTGGGTGGCAGAAACTTTGTACCTACTGGTCTGCCTAAATGTTGGGTGGTTCAAACCCACCCAGTGACGCTACAGAAGAAAGGCCTGGTGATCTGCTTCAATAAAGATTAAAAAAAGAAAAAAAACACCATTGCTGTGGAGCCGATTACGACTCATGGCAACCCTATAGGACAGTGTACAACTGCTCCATAGTTTCCAAGGAGCACCTGGTGGATTTTAACTGCCAACCTTTTGGTTAGCAGACATAGCTCTTACTACTGCACTACCAAGGTTTCTCAGTGAAGATTACAGCCAAGAAAATCCCATGGAGTTTTACTCTGTAACACATGGGGTTGCCATGACTTGGAATCGACTAGATGGCAATGGGCATGTCTTTTTTTTTTTTAATGTGGAAGTGGGGCAAATGTAACACAGGAATGCCCCTGTTTAGGTCAACTCAGTTTCAGCCTACTCTGTGGTCAAGGGAAGGAGCCATGACTTCTCCATCTCTGGGCTGGTGGTGCAGTGGTTAAGCGCCCGGCTGCTAACCTGAAAGGTCAGTGTTTGAGACACCAGCTGCTCTATAGGGTTTATAGCCTCGGAAACCCTACAGGGCAGTTCTACTCTGTCCTATAGAGTAGCTATGAGTTGGAAGAAACTAAACAGCAATGGGTTTGGTTTTGGTAACATACTAAGAAAGGAACCCTGGTGGTACAGAGGTTAAAGCGCTCGGCCAACTAAAAGGTCAGTGGTTTGACCCCACCAGCCATTCCACTGGAGAAAGATGTGGCAATCTGCTTCCATAAAGATTATAGCCTGGAAACCCTATGGGGCAGTTCTACTCTGTCCTATAGGATCAATGAGTAGGAATTGACTAGACAGCAACAGGCTACATACCAAGGTGCCTTCAAAGCAGGACCCCTACTGAGAATTTGAATTTCTAACAAGTTCCCAGGCAATGGTAATGATGCTGGTTAGGGACCAATTCTGAGAACCTCTACTAGTGCAGTGGTTCTCAAGAGTCACCTGGGGATCTTGTTAAAATGTAATTATGATTCAGTGTACCTGGGGGTGAAAATGCAAATTATCATAGGGGTTCAAATCGGACTGAGGCCCTGCTTCAAAGGTACACCGGAAACTTACCCTTTCATAGTAGAAACTTTTTTTCCTAACTACAAAAATCACAAAAAGTACAGGGACAGGATGGGGATGCAGCCAGATTTAGGATTCTGTAACTAGCATCCCCCAAACTCATCCAACGCCAACATTAAATTGTTTGAAATGTAGTCCAGCAGACATGCAAATTGAATTTTAACCTCATCAAGCAAATATTTACTTCCATTTTCTAGACTTCAGTAAAACAATTCCATCTCCCCCAAAACAATGAGCTCTATTCAGTGTCTCTGAATTCCCAATGTCTTTTATCACTCCATCTCAAGGGGGGGGGGGCCAGAGCTCAAAGCAAGCTAAAGAACTCATCTGTTAACGCCAATTGTTAGCGAAAAAGCCAAATCAGAGGTCTGCCCCCTCCCCCTCCTTTAATACCAAGGTCTTTGCAAACAGGAAGAGACAAGTCCTCAACCCTGCTGGTGCATTATGATCTGCTAAGCTTTTACAAATTGCTGCTCAGGCCCCAATTTAATTAGAATTCCTAGAGATAGGGCCCAGAAATCAAGTTTTTAAAGGCTCTGCAGGAGTCCTAAAAGAAACAATTGAGAAACACTGGAAAAGTCCCAATTTATTGCCACTTCCACAAGCTTCATCACCACCTCCACCAGATTCCACCCTTATTTCTGGCAACACTACATATGGCAGAATTAACCATTTGCTCAACTACATTCCTGACTCCTACTTCCAAAGCTTTCACAATTCAGGTTTCCTACCACTTTTGCAGTCTTCAAGCCTTAAACTCCAGAACTCACGTTGTAAGACCCTGGGCTTACACCTCTTTTTAGCCAAAGGGGCTAAGACTTGCAGATATCCAATACACAAAGTACCAGCCCTTCGCTATCTCCCATCCCCGCTTTCACATTTTAAGACTTTACAGGAGTTAATCCAGCACCCGAAAGAAAAATTTAAGAGCCCACTTCGAAGTCTTTTGAGTTTAAATTCTTGATAAAGGCAAGCAGCAGTGTCCGTTTTTCCTACATTTAAACCAGAGCCAGTCAAGCACCTAAATTTAGGTCACTCCGAAGGACTTTCACCAAGGACCGATGCATTTATTTTTGTCACCGTAGCAATAACCTCATGTTTATCAACGAAGGCACAATTCAATAACAGTACAGCTGTTCTTTTTTCTCACCCCAGGAATTATTTCCTCAAAAATTCTCAGACAATCCTAGTCACTTTCCTTTGACTTTAGAAATGAAGCACCACAGAAATAGTATAAGATCACTATGACTCAGAACTTGAATAATATTTTCTTTATTTACAAGTTAGAATCAACAGACAAGGAAAAAGACAGTCCAGGTGACCAAATGGGGAGATGACTGAAACCCTCAGGGGTCCCAAATGTGGAAGATAAGGAAAAAGGGAAAACAGAGTAGAAAGGAAAAAAAAACAGGGTCAACGTAAAAAAAAAAAAAAAAAAAAAAAGCTCCCCTTTCTTCCCTCCCTATGGTGGCTGAGGGGACTACAGCCCCACCCCCCAGCCTTACCTAGCTTAAAATAAATTAGACCAACCAACCTCAGTACAGGCCCCTTACAAGTGAACAGGGCAGCTATGGCCTCAGGTAACCCCTTATTAGGGCCTCTGCCCACTCCCACCCTGTACCCATTTCAAATGGGGGCCCTATGCCCAAGAGGTCACTCCCACTGCGGCTGGGAACTCAATCTTTTGTCCATGTCCCTCCTTCATAAGTGTCCCTGCATCCCTCCCCCCTGCAGAGCCAGCTCTCCTACAGTGGGGGGTGAGATGAGGAAATATCACAGCAACGGGGGAGGGGTGGGGCAGGGTGGTCTAGCGGTCCGGTCCTGCGGAGCCTCCTGCCCCATCTGGCCTGGCCCTTTAGCCTGAGTCTGAATCACTGGTGTCTGAAGAAGAGGAAGATGAAGAGGAGGAGCTGGAATCTGAGCTGGAGCTGGAAGCGCTGAGGCGTGACACCGCTACTTGCTGTGTGGCTGAAGACTCTGTTTTCTCACTCGCTGCAGAACAAGGTTGGGAGATTATAAAACTCCACTTGTCAAGAAAAAGACAGTAAAAAATGTGGGGTTTAGTAAATTTGCAGTGGCGTAAGATACTCGTGGAGCCCTGGTGGTGCAGTGGTTAAGAGCTTGGCTGCTAACCAAAAAGTTGGCAGTTTGAATTCACCAGCCACTCCTTGGAAACTCTGTGGGGTAGTTCTACTCTGTCCTACAGAGTCACTACGAACTGGAATCGACTGGAACGCAATGGGGTTTTCTAAGAGAATACTCACTTTTCTTAGGAGGCTTTTTGGTGGAATTGAGCTGCCCACTAACATCTTGTAACCGCTTTTCTAGTTCTCGCTTCTTCTCCAAAGCCAGTTCTTCCTTCGTCTTTCCCACAGGTTTCTTAATGGCTAGAGAAAGAAATGTGATTTCACTAAAATCACGACAAACATCCTAATTTTACACCTTCTAAGGCTGACAAGTTTCTCTGACATCAGCAAATAATTAACACTTCTCCCACCACCCTGAACTCTTGACAACTGAGTGCCTCATACACACTCCACCCTTCTGTAAGTTGTCCTTAGAAGCACAGGAGGACTGTCAAATTAATGAACCTCATTTCACACTTACTGTAGGGCTTCCGGGGTTTCTTTCGTAGGCAGGAAAGGACGTAGCGCTCAAGCTCTCTAAGTGTGGATGGCTTGAGTGTTTCAAAGTCAATTTCAATCTCTTCTGGGTTTGAATCACGTAAAGAGGGTTCCCTGGCTTGGATTATGTGTACTACTCGGCCCAGCTTCTCCCCAGGTAATTTATTGATGTCCAGGCTCAACTGCCTCTTCTCATCATAACTCATGGGCCTGCTTTCTTCCTCCTCTTCTGAATCGTAGCCCACAGGTAGGGCAGGCGGGGCTGTCTTTGTGGCCTTTTTGGGGAGTCTATGGGCAAAAAGAAAATTGTCAACTGGGAAAGCAGCGTTAACCTCTCCCAACATGTTTCCACTGTTACTTCCTAGCTGGAGTGGAACTTACAACTTTGCCCTGGGGAATCAGAAGAACATTTTATTGAGTTCTTACAGGTCAAGTATTTTACATTTATTCAATTTTCACTATTAGCAGTACATTTACAAAAATTTTCATCTATGTACATACATGGAGCCCTGGTGGCAGAATGGTTAAGAGCTTGGCTGCTAACGAAAGGGTCAGCAGTTCAAATCCACCAGCTGCTCCCTGGGAACTCTATGAGGCAGTTCTACTTTGCCTTCTAGGGTCACTATGAGTTGGAATCTGATTGACAACCAATGAGTTTTCTGTTGTTGTTTACGTATACAGATATATGGATACATATCTCCTTACCTATCTTATTTAGTCTATACAACCTTGGGCTCTCCTTTTTACTCCCTAAGGTACTAACCTAACCTACCATGGAAAACAAGTAAAAATAGTCTGGATTCAGAAACTTAGAGAAGCTTTTGACGAACTATGGCCCAAAAGATAAATCTGGCCTGCCACCTGTTTTTGTAAAAAAAAGTTTTACTGTAACACAATCATGACTCATTTGTTTATATTATTGCTTATGTGTGCTTTCGTGCTACACTGGCAGAGTAGCTGTGACAAAGAGCTTCTGGCATGTAAAGTCTATCTGTTACTTGACCATTTACAGAAAAAGTCTGCTAACCCCTGGTTTAGTGAAAAATCCACAAAGAGTTGGAGGAGGCAGCTGCCCCTGGATAGACTACAGAAACAGCTAAGTTCTTCCCTCCTCCCTACCCTGTTAGAACTCACTTGGTACCACTTCCACCAGAAGGCCCAAAGCCAGGAGGTCCTAGTGCAGCACCACTGCTACTCCCACTTGCTTTCTTGGACTTCTTGAGCTGAGGTGGGCGGGATGCCCGGGGCCCCTTGTCATCTTCATCAACCCCAGCTCGGCCTCGATGCTTCTCTGACTTCCTTTTTTTCTTTTTTTCCTTTTTCTCTCTCTTCCGCTTGGGCTTGGATATTGGGCCTTGGGACAAGGCTGCCAGTTGTTCATGCACTGCCCGAAGCTAGAAAGGAAAAAGCAATCAGACATGAAATAGGGAAAAAAAATAAACAACAACACTATAAAAAAGGGCGAAGATAAGCATGTTTATCTCTTACCACCCAGTAAATGGAAGAGTGACAATACCTGTTCCTGTAGTTCTGCCAAGCGATGAGCCCTTTCTTCCTCTGAGTCAGAGCTTTCACTCTCTTCTTCTTCCTCATCCTCCTCTTCCTCCTCCTCTTCCTCCGAGGAGCTCTCACTGCTACTTTCCTCACTGGAGGACTCAGAAGATGATTTGGCCAGACCAGGGGGCAAGGCTGTAGAGACTGGTAAAGGCCCTGGTTCCAGGGGTTCATCTGGCATCTTGGCATAACGGAACTCAAACACATCCTAAGAAAAAGAGGCAGACTCAAATCTACGTTGGCAGGTAGTGCCCTGATTTACTCTTAGCGACCCAGTGGTATACCTCCAATTTACAACTGTACAGATCATGAGACTGATCATCATGAGAAAGGGTTGTGCATCATCACAAATGATAAAAACGTCTCCCCAGATCTATTTACTCTACAAATTCCATCCAACCTTGACACTCACCTGTAGCTTTCGTGCCATGGCCACAACATCGTGGTCTGGGGGATTGTACTTATAGCAGTTGGAGAACATAAGCCGCACATCAGCAGCAAACTCCTGTGCGTCCCGGTAATCACGATTCTCCATCTTCCGCTGCAGAAGGAGGCAGCATCAGAAGCTGCACAGGCAGGGAGACTCACCTTTCCCTGCCAACCCCAGACACCACAAGAGGAGCCCCTTCTTGAGGGCACAGGTACCTTAAGGATGACCTTAAGGATCTGTGCCCTGGAGTTCAAGTTTGAAGTCAAAGGAATTTGGGTGGGTTGAAGAAATATCTATGTCTAGAAAAAAAAACCATTTCTAAGTGATAAGGGAGGCAAGGTAGCCTCTTAATTCCTTCCACCCCCAAACTCCCCTAAGCCTGGCACTCCAATAAGCAGTACTTAATCATAAATGAGTAGCACTGCCCTGAAAACGAGAAAAACCCACCCTATTGTTTCAAAACACTAAGAAATATGGATTCTTGTGAAGCACTTAACCTTCTGTCTCATTATTTAGTAAAAGTAAAGTCAAAAACTGCTGGTGTGCCTACAATGAGGGGACTGGCTGTTTTAGTTTCCAATCACTCACTGCCTGCATCCATCCCATCTGCCCCATGCAGTGGGTACCTTGACAGTGCTGAGGTCCATGGGGTGCTTAATAATGTCATGGTAATCATGCAGGCCAAGAGCAGAAGCGTCCACTGGTTTATAGAAAGGCCAGGCATAGGCAGCATGCTTCTTGGAAAGTAGCTCCTTCAAAATGCCATTGCAATGTTTTAACTGTTCTGATAGCTTTCCTTTCTTGGAGCTCTGGTGTTGTTGCTGAGAGTCGGGCAAGTCTTTCCTGGGCGGCTTGATGGGGCGGCCACTCTCTCTCCGCACAGGTGGAAGCCGTGCTGCCTTAGGCTCAAGAGCCCCAGGAGGGCTAGATGGGGAACCAGGAGCCAGGATGGCTGTAGGTGTAGGTGTGGTAGTATCTGCTTTCCTCTTTACCCCTTTCTTCTACAGAGAAAAAAACACAAGAGTCTTTTACCCCCATTCCACCTCATTCAACACCTTCCCCTTTCCATTACCCAAAAGAAATCCACAGAACCATACCTTGGCAAGGGGCTGAGCCGGCGGAGCTGCAGAGACAGCAAGGAGCGGAGGTCCAGCGGAGTGCAGAGACTTGAGAAGGGGAGAGGAAATCACTGACGGGTGGGGAATGTTGAGGACAGTGGTAGGTATCTCAGGTGGTGGAGTATACAGAGCTGTGTGTGACACAGAAGAGACAGCAGGCACCTGATGGGCACTGGTAATACTACCCTGGAATGCTACGAAAAAAAAAAAAAAATTAGTGTTGATTCTTTCTCAATTTTTACTCTCCGTTGGCAAAATTTCCACTTATCCTACCTGCCAACTTGGCTCCCTTTTTGTGGCTGTTCTTAGGGATGGTCACTACAAGCTCTTGCTCGTCTTGTGGCATTGATGCCACTTTCTGTAGAAAGATCTTTTCCAGCGTCTGTGCCATAAGGACAATATCATCAGTGGGCTACGAGAAACACAAACACAAAAAAAGAATCAAATGCCAGCTAAGGAAGAATAAACATCTCTTTCTTCAGCCACCACCCTTAAACACCTTCGTCATCAAATACTGAAATTTATCTCTACTGAGCCACTATTTTCCATTTTCCCTCCCAGCTCTGTCCCTCAAAATACAACAAAGGGGGGGGGGGAGTTCCTTCAAGAAAGTTCAGAAGGGATGAGAGCTGACAAGCAAAACTAATCCTACTCTACCCAGATCTCTGGGAAACAGGGTCACCATTCCCAAGTATGATAAGTGTTCTACTTAATCTTTTTAACTCTAGAGCTCTAAAGCCACACCTTCCTATTCAGTGGTCCCACTCGGAGCTCCAGTTTTACAGAATCTTATGGTTCTTTACAATATTTTGTATGATAAAATGCCCAAACTTTAGATAGGCAAAATATCTGAAAAAAAGGAACCATCCCCCCCCAACTGTCTCTCCCCACCTACTTAATAAACACACAGAAAAAACTCACTTTGTTGTAGATATAACAGTTGGTGAACATGGTATTAAAATCCTGCATACACTCCGAGGCAGCCCAATAATAGTTGTTTTCAAGTCTCCTTTTAATAGTACCCATATCCATAGGCTGTTTTATAATTTTGTGATAATCCTAAATAATAAAAAACAAACAACATAAAAATCACTGAAAAATCCCTATTCTCCTAGGGAAACTAATGACCCCAACACACTCACACACACATCTCTATATGCCAAAGGGGTACAAAAGTCTCCTAAACTGCGGCCCCCATTGAACTACAGAGCAGAAAAAAACTGAGGATTATTTAATAAAACCAAGTAAGATGCCTTTCTCTAACCACCCACCTCCCATCCACTTCTGTTAAGCTTCCCATCCACTTCTGTTAAGCTTCCCATCCTGTGACATTACCTCTGGGGCTGGCTATCCATGGGCTGCATGAGGGAGAGGAGGAAGCTAAGAATTTTGGCCAACGAGGTTCTCTCCCAACCCGGGGTGGGAATCTGTAAAATGGAGCCAGGGCACAAAAGTTAAGGAAGGGTACGTGGAGGACACAGTGAGATGCCTAGACAACAAGCAGTTGGGATTAATTGCAAAGGATGAAGGATCCAGAAATCTGGTAGTTATATGACTACATGAGAGAGAGGTAGAAATTCCCTAGGGGCCGCAGCACCTACACTAAGCAGCTCAACCCCCACTCACACACACTCTTGCTCACTTCCACACCTCCCCACTCCAATGTCTACTCACCGGCAGACCCAGTTTGACGGCATCCACCGGCTGCCGGAATGGCCATGCAAACTGATGTTTCCACAAAGCCTTCATTACCACCTTGTGTAGGTACTGCAGCTGGTTGGTGACCCGTCCTGGCTTTTTGGGATTGGACACCTCGGGGGGTGGTGGGTTGGCAGGGGTCAGTTGCAAAGCCGGCACTGAAGCCATTGTGGGGCTCTCAAATCCCTCATACAGCAAAGAGGGCTTTCGAATCCTTTTCCCTGGAGCTGCTGCCTCTGGGCCCAGCCCCAGTAACCCTGCATTCCCCTCCCCAGGGAGCCTGTGAAGAAAACGAAATTGGATGTGGTAACCCTGTAGAAGAAATCAAGAAAATATACAATTTGCACTATACCCAACAAATCCAGGCTTTGGACATACTGAGATGGTCTAACTCATGAAAGTAGCTCTCACCCAGTACCAGTATCCAAGCAATCTGTGGAGTTTTTGTTTTCCACTCCATTTTCTTATTTTAGTGTATCTACCTAGGTCCTACTTCCTGGAAACTCTGATAATCCCTATGTCTTATTAACAAAAAGCCCCAAGATTGTTTCTGATAAAACACAGCATCTGAGAAGTACTGCTCCATGTGGATGGGGCTTTAGTAGGCGGAGCTGAGAAACTCACACCCCAAGCTTCCTCCTCACTAAGGGCCTGGTGGTTGCCATGGTGGTTGAGCCCGAGGGAAGGGGGTGAAGAGAGAATAGAAACAAAATAAGGAGTAATATCAAAAAATACTGATAAGACACGTAAGAATCCATCTGGGCAGAAGAGATCAGCATCCCCCACCAGCTCTGCACAAATTCCATAACAAAAAACGAAGCAGAAATCTAATGGAAGAACCATTTCAACTCAACAAATTCAGACAAGGGAGCATTTGTCAGACTTCACAACCTGGAATAACCCAGCTGCCAGCCCCCAGAAATTATTCCTACCAAACTATAAAACAAACAAACAAAAAAAACCAGCCCAACAGTCAAGATCAGCAACTCCCCTCATATAATACTGTACTCCTACATCCCACTGAAAAAATAAAATCCCACTAACGTTACCCACTGTAGCGTTAACTCTGGAGACCAAAGGCCAACAGTGGTTCTGTTTCAAGTTTATATTTCCTTAGGTGCTCCTTCGGATCTAAGACTCAAACACTACAGGGGAGTATCTCATTGTTTACAATCCGCAAACCGAGAATTAAAGAGATTTAGCTCCACCCTCCTGCCCTGAAAGAAACTCTCATGCTACAAAATAACATACCTTCCCCCTCCCCAAACACACACACATCCCCGGAGCTAGTCTACAACAAAAACAAGGTTTAGACTAAAGACCTACCCTAGACATAAGGAACTCACAAGCTGGGAAAGCGATCCCGCTCTATTCTACTCCGGGAAACCCCGCAGCTAGTCTCTCAAGCCCAACCACCATGGCAACTGTATACCACACTACATATGCCTGCGAACCCCCAAAAAAGATCCTTGATAAAGCGTCGCTACAACCAGACTCACTACTCGCACTACCCACTGCCCACTTCAACTCATACATCCCCATGACGTTCTGCTTCGCCCGACTCAAGACTAGGACCCACTGGGAAATGTATAAATCGACAACCTGCACTCCCCCCACACGCAGTAACCGGGCCGCCGCCACGGTTCCCAAACCGTCGCTCAACCCCTTCCCGCGAGCCAGCAACAGCTGCGCAGCGGAGTCGCAAAGCACCGGAGTCGACTCCGGACGCCCCCGAACGCGCGCGGTCCCGCACCCCCGCGCTGCCTCCTCCCCACGCGCAGCTCGCAGGGACTTACTTGTTGTGGGGAGTCACGTTTTGCAGCATCTTGACCGCAGGGAACCGGCACAGCCCTCAGCCGCGGTAAGTCCGGGTGGCCTCGGTTCCCCTCACCGACGGGTCCAGCATAACCCGGGAAGTGGGGGAGGGCCGTCGCCCTTGATCCTCCAGGCGACAACCCCCCCACCGGGCTAGTACGAAAGCAGTCTCCTGCGCGGGGCCTCAGAGAGCTCCCGGCAGCTCGGTGAGCTCCACAGGCGGCGGCCAGCGAGAAAATGGCGGCTGCCTCAGCTGAGGCGGGTGAACGCGGGGGAATGGACTCTTCAAAATCAAGGACGGCCCCCAATCCCAGACACCGTCGTCAGTATAGCCCGCTGTTGTTCTGCAGGGGTTCCCTCTTCCTGCCGGGAGTGTCCGAGGAGGACAAGGTCTTGTTTCGACCTCGGATGGAGGCGGATGAACACGGAAAGTGGTTTAAGGAGCCGCCGCCTCCATCTTTGAAATCCTCTTGAGGGCGGAGTAGAGGGGACGGACAGACTCCGAGGATTGGGCGGGGCCCGGAAAAGGGGAGCTTCGGGGGCTTCTATGGGGTCTGTACTGTCCGCCGGGACCGGTCATAGGCCGAGACGAAGGCCATTTCCAAGCGGATGGACGTGGATTGTAATGGTCGCCCCAGACGACTCGAAGGCTCTGTATCAGCAGGCCGAATCCTCCGGCTCGTCCTAAACGCTGCTCCACTCCAGCGCGAAATGGCGCCGCTGAGCTCCGCGCCAGCCCTTTATATATAGGCGGGTAGGAGGAGCTTCGCCGCTCATGCGCGCCACCGTGCTCGAGACTTCCCCCACCCTCTCTGCGCGTTCACGCTCGCTCACGCGCGTGAAGAAGCCGAATCGAAAGGGGAGGAACGTCTCTCCGCGGGAGCTTTTCCTATTGGTTGGTCTAAACGATGACATCATAAACTTCATTTCCGAGGTGTCAGTCACCAGGCGAAAGTCGGCTGCAAAGACCCATAGGGAAGCGGCAGTCAGCTACATCTCCGAGCTAATTGGCTGTGCTGCGGTCCGGCGACTCCAGGCAAAGTGGGAGGTTGGGAGGGGTGCTGAAGCCATCCCTCTAGAGCTTCCAGCACCCTCTCCCCACCTCCCTTCCCAACACTGTCTTCCCAGGCTTCCAAGCCTGGTGCGACGGGCGACTGCCAAGCTCCGGCAGGTCGTGCCATTCGTAGCTCCTCCGTTGGCTAGGCGGGTAGGGCGACGGGAGGGGGCTGCGTGGGCGGGCAGAGCCGGCCTCGGCCCACTAGGGGTGTGGCCGTAGGACTCCTGGCGGGTGGTGGTTCTCGGCAGTGTGGCCGCTGCAGTGATGAATCTGAAACGAAGAAGACGCCATCTTAGAAACCGCGGCCTGCTCCTGTGGCAAACAGCTAAAGGCTCCCGAATGTAGCGAATGTCACGTTCCCATCCTACATAATCTAAAATAGAAGTTTGCCAGAGTGTCTTAAAATCCTTTCTCACAGAGCAAACAATCGAAAGACAGAAGCAAAACACCCTTCAGAATCAACTTATCTGTGTACTCCCAAGGGCGTCTTAACAAGACCACCAAACGTAGACTGGATTCCAAAACCGTGTACCCCAAGCACCTCTCCAATCTCTCCCCAACTCATACCTTTAGTAACACAAAAATCTGCCTCCTCTTCACAACCTAAGCAGCCCTAAAGTAAGAGCAGAAATTCCAAATGCACCCATCCACAATACAAAACGAAACCCACCTCTCCAAACTTCATTCCGGTGTCTGGCTCAGGGCGGAAAAAAGCTCTGCGAGGGGCGAACCGGGGCAAACACCCTCTCCCTCCCGGCGATCTCAGACCTTCCGCACCCTCCCCGCCCCCCAATCGCGAGGGCAGACCCGTATCCCCCTCTCAGGGTCCGGAGTCCTCCCCACGGAGCGGCTCATCCACCGGTCAGTGCCAGGGAGGGCGAGCGGAGGAGGCGGCGGCTGCGGCTCAGACTAGCCCTCCCCCTCCTCCCCTCCCCCCGGGCCGTCCGCCTCCGAGGAGGGGCAGGAGCCATTTTGGGAGCTGTTTCGCCCCCTTCCCCCAATCGACTTCTCCAGTCTTCCCGTAATCTGGTTATCTGAATAGGGATACAGACGACTGCGTATGAATAAAGATCCAAGGCACCACCTGGTCAGTACCGCTAAACCATCTCTAGGGCCTTCGGCCCCCTCTCTTGCCCCCTTACATGAGAGTGAAAGGCACGAGTTTCCTCCACCGAGAATACCCGGGTTTTAGCGGCGAGCGTCCCCCATCCCCTCCATTTCCCCAGCCCCTCCATTTCGCAACCTAGTAGGGAAGGTGTGGGAAATGAATTATGATATGAATTAATTTCATATCTGGGTAATTAAAGTAAGGGAAGAACATAAGACCTCCCCCTCCACCGAAAAGGGCCCCTAAAGGCCTAAGTTCTTGAGCTCCAACTAGGCCACCCTCCTTCTCAGTAGCCCTTGAGCCCTAACCTCGGTTACTGCGTCTAAAATGGCCGCCAATCTCCAGTCTTCTAAACTACCCGAGTCAGGCACACCCTGCGGGGAGTGCGCACCGGGAAGGCGGAGAGTCCCTTCCATCCCCACCCCCATCTCCGCCAAGGATCAAGCCCCGGTCCCCAAAAGTACCCGTGGCCCCGCCCGGCGGCTGCAGCAGGGAGGACAATGACACAGCAACTTTGCAGCGCATCTTCCCCTCCCCCGTTCACCTCCCCTAGTGGCGCAGCCTCCCAAATTGGCTTTTCTCCACCCGGGGCCTTGCGGGTTAGGGTAGAAGCCCCCAGGGCGCCGGACAGGGAAAAAAGCTAGGAGGTGGGGAAAATACAGAAAGAGAAAAGGGCGGTCGGACATTACTTTCGCCTAATTCCCTGCATTCCGGAAAATCACCGCTCCCCAGTCCCTCCCAGTCCTCCTTTCCCCCACATGAGTCACTGGGGAGGCTACTACTACTAAGTAATTTGTAAAAGTAATTCTTCCCTGCTTTCCGTTCCCTCCCCCGCAGCACACAAGGAGAGAACTGTTCAGAAATGGGGGAGGGGGGAAGGGAAGCTAGAAAGAGGCCACCCTGGAGAAACTCGAAACCTTGGGAGCTGGGGAAACATTGCAAACCCTGAGCCTCAACCCTCCAGTGTCTGGCCACGCTTTCTACTCCCCTCCAAGTACCCATCTTGGGCCTAGTTTCTGCTCCTAAACGGACCCCAAGCTTTCAACCTGTATGCCCTCACCAGCTTTCAACCTGTATGCAGACACGTGCTCAGGTGAGACCCCGCAGGGGCTAACGAAGGTTTGTGCAGAAGGCCCGCAGGCCGTGTCCACGTGAATGCACACAAATTCGATAACCAAGTCGAAGCGTAACCTCTAAAATGCCATGTGATGATTACGAGCTTCCTAACGCTGACACAAAGGGAGCACAAATATGCTCCTTCCAGAGTCTCAGGGGAGAAAAGGTGTGGGCTCCTGGGAACAATCTCAGTTCAAGACCTAGCTTGCCAATTTATGTATTCTCATCCAAGAGAACTGCAGTCACCACTGCCATTCCTCAGCCCACTAAATCATCGCCCTCTGTGGCCCCCAAAAGGGTCCCATCTCACCTGGCTCCAGGTTCCTGTACCCCCAGGGGATGAACGGAATGGGGGGGCACATACCGCCCCCACGCCCCTTTGCCCTCCAACTGGTATTGAAGCAGGAGGTTGGCCATTCCCCTCCCCCACCATGGGGGCCCTCTCCCGCTCGCACCCCTCCACGCTCCCATTGGCTGTAAAATGTTTGAAGGGCAAATACTCCCGCCCCCAGCAATCTTCTCTGAACCCCAAGAATTCCCCTCCTGGACTCTCCACCATTGATTAAGCATTTAAATAACTGACAGCATCCCCGCACCCCTTCTCACCTGGATCCTGGAACCTTCCAAGGGGGCTTCTCTGTTCCCCTCGGCATGGTGCGGCGGGGGGAGGTTGTGATCCGGGGTGTCACCCCCCCCGGAAACAGAAGCAGTGTTGGGGGAGGGGGAAGAGCCCCCCAGCCCCTCCCTTCCAGGCCGGACGGGGGTGGGGAGAGCCGCGGGGCCGCGCGGCCACGTCAGCAACACCCAGATTGGCCGACCGGGGTCATGTGCCAGCTGCTCCCCCTCTTCCCCCCACAGCCACAGGGGCCAGTTTTCTTTATGTTCCAGGGGGTCGTGCAAGTGGCCAAGGGCGCCCCACGGCCGAGGCCTATCCCACGAGACCGACAGCCCTCTAACGTCTCTGCTTCTTTATATCTCCGGCTTCTTATCCCGCTGTCGTCAACTCTGTCCCCCCCACGCACCTCTCGGTACGGGTTCAGCATGGCTACCGCAGCCGAAGAATGCGCAAAGCGCAGGCGCGTGGGTGCGACCGGCGTGGGGGAAGGGAAAGGAGAGCCGCAGGCCGCCGGGAGCGCGGTAATGCGCAGGCGCCCGGGTGAAACGGCGTTTCCGCGGCGAGGCCAGGAGCGAGCGCAGTGGCTGGGGGGTAGCCGGCGCTGAGCGATGACCTACCGCCTCGGCTGCCCCTCCCCCACAGCCGTGTTGGCCCCGGACGGCCCCGGGCGGCCTGCCTTGGTTCTTTTAACCCAGTGTCAGGTGCAGCTTGGTATGTCCTCGCCGGAGTACAGCGAAAAGGCACTCCGCGGAGCTGCTGTAGTGAAGAATGGGCCTGGACCTGGATATGTGAGGGTGTACAGGGTGGGGCCCCCCCTTCCCTGGTGTAATATGGTTCGACTACGGAAGAGGGAGTTTATCACCCTCGACGTGCCTGCAGCGGGGAGATGAGATGCGGACGGAAGAAGTGAGCTTTTTCTTGGTTTCTTTGTCTTTGGCAGCTTTACAACCTCTTATTTCCCCAGAACCTACCCTTGCCTTAATACTTCACTGAGACCTGCCAGTCTCTTGACTCCTTCCTCTTTCTTTTAGAAAACGTACCAGCGTTCTGATCACTTTCCCTTCCTTCACAATCTTGAATCCCATAAAACTTTAGGGATCGTTAATGTAAAATGCCATTGTAATTCATTTGCCACCTAAAGCAATCCTTTTGTTTCTACCTAGCCAGTAATCTCTTCCTTGATCCTCGAAAGTATGATCCAAACTTTCACTCCGTGGTCCCTAATCCCCGCCGACAAGTATCACCTCTCAGGACAGAAAGGTCAATTTGCAGGAGCACTCAGCAGCTTCCTACCTCGAACTTATAAACTAGGCTGTGGCTGTATTTCTTCTTTTTCACAGGGATCTTCCCTTCCATTTAAAGAAATCCCTTTTCTTTTGACCTAGTCAAAAACCTCCTCTATTACTCTGAGACTATCCTCCACTCTCTGCTCTTTGGTGTTTTTAACTTCTCAGATCTACTGGTTTCCCAACAGAAAAGAAAGGAAAACAACTCTCTCAATGTAGACTCTTATTTATCTCACAGCCTCCCTGTGCAGCAAAGTCCTGAAATTATCTCAGTTAGCTTTCTCTCTCTCTGCCCCTATCCGTACTCCTCAACCCATTTCTGTCAGGCTCCCACCACTGAAACTGTTCTGGCAGATATCACCAAAGACCTAATTGGCAAAGTCAGGAAGCACTTTTCACTTCTTAACTTATTTGACCTCTGAATCATTTACTCTCCTTCATAAATTTCTCTGTACCTTTGATTTTTGTAGCTAGTCTCAACTTTTTTTTGTTTGTTTGTTTTTCCTCTTAACTCTTCTTCCTTCCCAATCTCCTCTGTGGACTCTTCTTCCTTAGCCTCTCCCTTATATGTTTTATTTGTCAAGATTTTGCTTCAGTCTACTGATTTTGTTCATCTTTTCTAGGTAGGAAGCCCTGGTGGTGCATTGGTTAAGAGTTCTGCTGCTAACCAAAAGGTCAGCACTTCGAATCCACCAGCCTCTCTGTGGAAACTCTATGGGCAGTTCTTTTCTGTCCTATAGGGTTGCTGTGAGTCAGTCGACTTTATGGCATCGAGTTTGGTTTTGGGGTTTTTTTCCTAGGTGATATCACTCAGTGGCTCAGAGTCTCTCGAATCATTGTCTTTAGTTCAGACAGTCCTCCTGAGGTAAACTTGCTATTAAATATTCCTGCTTAGATAACCCTAAGACACTTCAGTATGTTCAGAATTGCTGCTTTCTATATGCACTCTAGACCTGCTCCTCGTGTACTATCCTGGCTAATGGCTACCTATTCAGTCACAAAGCCTGGAATCTGGGAGCCCATTCTTGATTTTTTTCCTCACAGTTTCATGTGTACCAGACTTAATGATTTTTAGCTCTTAAATGTCTATTGAATCACACTGTTGTAGTCCTAGTACAAGGAGCCCTGGTGGCCCAGTGGTTAAAGTGCTCAGCTGCTAACCAGAAGGTTGCAGTTCGAACTCACCAGCCACTCCATGGGAGAAAGATGTAGCAGTCTGCTTCCGTAAAGATAATAGCTTCCTAACTGATTTTCCTCTCTTTGGTTTGGGTTTTAGAGCTGCTTTGCCCAATATGGTAGCCATTAGTCACATGTTTTTTAAATATTAAAATTTTAAATTCAGTTCTTCAGTTGCACTAGCCACATTTCATGTTCTCCATAGCCCCATGTGGTTAGTTACTGGAGGCACCCTACTCTGCCAGTAAACTTTGTCCAAAAGGCACTCAGCTCTCTTGCTCCAAGGGTCAGCAAGCCTAGCTCCACTGATAAGTGCTTGGAGGCACCCTACTCCACCAGGAAGCCTCCTGTGCACAGGCACTCAGCTCTCTTGCTCCGTGGGTTGGCTCCAGAGCCCTGTCTCGCTGGTCTCCTGGTTCTGCTGTGGGAAGTCCTCTGTTGCTGTTTCTCACTATCTTTGCCTTATCCAGCATTAACAGTTCTCCTCACTTCCTTCTGATCCTTCTATCCATTCACAGTTTCAAAACCACTCGCACG